TGTGCTGCTGATTTTCAGCAATTGTGCTGCTCCCAAGGCTGTGAAAATAAAGCCCTGGGACTCTTCTTGGTCTAAATATAAAAGGTAGAGGGATCAGTATAACAACGTTATATTTAATAGGACAAAGAGACACACTAAATGCAACATAGCTCTGGGCACAAATTATCAGTTTGCCGTATCGAAATAATGAGATGATTTCAGATGGAGAATTTAATCAGTGAGCCTTCTAAAGTGGAAGCTGTTGTAGAAATGGGTAATTTCAGTTACTCACACAAAGACCAGATAAATACAGTCCATGCGCCAGACACAACAATGAACTGGAAATTCTAGATTCATAACAAATGTTCCTGGATTCATAACAAATGTTACTAAAGTCAATATTTCAATCATGGGTAACTCGAAAATTGCCCCCCAAAAAACTTTTGGTTTTTTTCCCCCCTTTCAATGGAGGTGGAGGATTTGAAAAATAAGAATAAAGGAGGAAGATGAGGATAAAAATGAAGCAGATCAAACATTTCCAGAAAAGTAGGGGAATGTCAAATGACAATAATACAAAATTCCTGTAGGTAAGGAATGAAAAAAAAAAAAAACCAAAGACCCAGATAAGGCCAACATGGTAGAGGAGAAAAATCTAGAACGTTATGGAGGTTAATGAAGTGATAGGTCTTCTTTGAGAAAATGAAAGTTAGGCCTAAAGAGCTACAAAAAACCTGCATTAAATCAGAATATTTATGGTAATATGAGGACTTTCTTTGTAGATGCAGCTGCCATTTCTGATTTTCATACCAACGTATTTTCTCAAGAATGTTAATCGATACGCTCTTAGGAGCTTATAAACAGAATTATCAAATTTATGGATAACCCTGCTTTTCGTACAAGCCGCAAAGCTATTCATTTCACTGCACACATTAATCTCTCATGAAATGGGCATGTTTCCATAAAAAAATGTAATTCTTAGTTATTAAAGAGATGAATGCCACACTATTATGAGATGACTTAATTCCAAGAAAGACCTTGTAAGTTATGAGGACAAAAACACAGGAAGCTACTAATTAAACAACAACTCAAAAGGGACTCCTTTTCAAATTGCCTTGGGGTTCCTTAACTAAGAACTTAACATATATAGGGGGTGTGTATATTTGTGTGGCTGTGTGTGTGTGTGTGTGTGTGTCCCACCTTTGGCACAAAGCCAGCTGGGTGACCTTGGGCCAATCCTTCTCTCTCAGCCCTAGGAAGCAGGCAATGGCAAAACACTTCTGAAATCTTGCCACGAAAACTTCAGGGATTTATCCAAACAGTTGCCAAGAATCCACACTGACTTGAAGGCATACATAAATACATACACACAAACACAAAAGCCCAAATGCTCACATTCAAATGTATGTGTTGATTCTTTCTTTCTTTTTATTTATTTATTTATTTCTTTTTTTCTTTTTCTTTCTTTTCTTTCTTTCTTATCATCTATTATCTATCAATCCATCCATCTATTATCCATCTATCCATCCATCCATCCATCCATTCTATCTATCTATCTATCTATCTATCTATCTATCTATCTATCTATCTATCTATCTATCTATCTATCTATCTATCTATCTATTATCTATCTATCTATCTATCTATCTATCTATCTATCTATCTAATCCATCCATCCATCCATTATTTATCTGTCTGTCTGTCTGTCTGTCTGTCTGTCTGTCTGTCTATCTATTATCCATCCGTCTGTCTGTCTGTCTGTCTGTCTGTCTATCTATCTATCTATCTATCTATCTATCTATCTAATCCATCCATCCATCCATCCATCCATCCATCCATCCATCCATCCATCCATCCATCCAT